ATATGCATATAATATCCTGTGTTTGAAATTTAATTTCATATCTAACTTACAATTTTAATATATATGCATACAAATAACTTATAATACTTTATTTATATCTGTGAAATTCACAAGGTCAAATACTAGTAAGTATATAAATTGTGGTAATATATATGCTTTTTACCACTCAGTAAGGGCAAAATAGTCATTACACACCCACCAATTAATTAACCACTAGTAGTGGGTCCCACAACTAACCAGTCATCTCTCCCCTCTATCTCACACTCATAAACACATACAAGATTTTTCAGATTTCACGCACACACACAGTTCACACAAACACACAGTATCACATACGCCGACAATCTCAGTCGCCGGTCGCCGTCGTCCCTCTGCCAGCTCTAGCGCACTGCGAGCCTTGCCGCGGTGGTTACACTGTCCCGCCGCCGCGCCTCCCTAGCCCTGCCGACGGGCCTCCCAATTCCAGCGCCAAACCTCCACAACACCGCCGCTGCGCCGCTGGCGCCTGTCATCGGCGACGGCTACGATAATGAATTCTCCGACAGACACCAGCTAGTCGTGCAGAAGGGAAGACGGTTATGGCCGTCAGACATTGTATCTACCGATTTGGTCGGCAACATGGTGATGGCCGGACATTTCTGTAACGCCCCAAAGATTTTTAAAGACAATTCCGGACTTATCCAAAAATCTCGTTTTAAAATTTCGAAACCATTTATCGATTTATAAAACATTTGGCGCTACTCGAGAACTTTGCAAAGCTTAACACATAATCAACATAAAGGAAGCGAGAATATTCAACATAATTCAAGTTCCAGGACTAGATTTCAACATATCTAGCAATATGATTGTCAACATAATCCAAAATGATAAAAATAATCCACATGGTTCGACAGTTCAACCAATCCCAAAAGAAATAGGGAAAAATGACAAAGTCTGATAATCTCAACATAAATATCAAAGCATGCGGAAGCAATATAAAGCAACAATAATGTTTGACTATCCACTCGTCTTCAGTCTCGTCATGCCCAACACGTGCTTAACCTGCATCCATGAAGAGCAGGTGGGGATGAGCACAATTATAAACGAGGTGCTCACCACTATGCATAATATATTGGTAAGAAGCCTATACTAGAGTCATATGCAAGTACATGATCAAAAGACATATCAAACCACTCTCCTACTCATCACTATACCCATGTGCACACCTATCAAAAGCCGCCAGGGGTAAGCCCAAACTCGTCAGCGGGAGTAAGCCCAAATTCATTACTAATTAAGTTTACCAATAATTTATATCATATGTTACCATTACTAATCTATTATTAATAATTATAAGTAGAAAAATTGACATCGATAATGTTTGTTCTCATAATGTCTATAAAGTACAGAAACATTTTTTTTAAATTTTTTTCAATATAACCTATTTAAAAGAGAGTAAGTTGTGTAATAGTATGAAAAATTAATTGTTGAATGCTTGTTTTGTAGACTAAACATTTAACCTACTCAATTTCTTTGCTTAAAATAAGATTAGAATAATTTTATGAAATTGTATAATACTAAAACCCAATTTATTTATTTTCATGTAGAATGAAATACCGTTTGAGCACATCATGATTTAACTTAGATCGTATGATTATCTATAAATTAATTAAAAATATCTAGAGAATCATGATGCCTATATATGTTGAAAATCAATTAATTTTTAGCAATAAATTATATCCATATATTACCATTACTCATCTACCTATCAACCTGCATTATTCTAATAAGGCAATATTTTATCAAAGAAAAAGTACAGAATAAAAACTTCTTATATTTGAGTATAATATTAATGAAAAACTTGTAGTTGTATATTTAATATAATACAGAGATATATAATTAATTGATATACAATAAGACATACGACCCAAAGAGTTCTATACATAACTTTATGCATTTTTTACCAAATCAGTTATATATATATAATTACACAAGGGGTAAAAATGATGTTTTACCTAATAAAAAGCTAAGATTACACAATGAGAAATTTTAAGCTCGCATTTCATCTAAAAGTAAAAAAAAAATTATAAAATTGATAAAGGTGTTATATCAATTAGAGCTGGCGAATGATAAATGTAAAACGTACTTAAAATGCACATTTATAATATATATATATATATATAGTTTTTTGTATGAGAAATCATTATGAGTCTTAATTTTTTTAGTTAAAAATTTATTTACTTTTTACCATTAAATTTTTAAATTTTGAAATACTTAGTACTTTTTTAATTTGTTACCCTTATATATGTAGTATATTACATCATTTCTTTTCAATAATGTTTAATTTGACCAATGTGTTGTATAAATAAAAATAATATAATTATTTCTTATCGATATAAAATAAAATATATATATCTATCAATACCAATTTAAACTAGTAAACGGACCTATAAGTATCTTATAAATCAATTATAGATCCGTGTTAACTAAATTTTATTAATTATCAAAAATTAATAATAGATAAGCTCGTGGTATAGTTTTCTTACACAGATTTAAAATATTCATACTAAGAAAAAAGGTGCAAATGGATGTAAACGTATAACTATTACCGATATTAAATATGTGAATTAAAAGAAGAAATAAACAAGTTGTATGTTAAACTATTAATGAATTACTACTTGAGGAAAACACCATAGTGGTTGTAGAAAATATTTTTTGTGAATATAAAAATGAGTTAGTTATTTAATATTTTATCAAACCGTGGAAAAAATCCAAAACTTTTTAATCTTATAAATATAATAAAAATAAATTATTATCAACTATATTAGTACTATCAAACACGTAAAAGAAAAAATGCAATGCATATGA